ACCTCTCCGTCAATAGGAGCATTAGTCTCCGGTTTTCCGCCAAGCTGGAGAAGAGACGGAGCATCACTGCCCCGTTGTGGGACACTCAGTGACTCGCCCTTGGCAACTTTGTCGCGGATCATCTCATGGCCTTTGGCGCCAGCACGGAAGCCCTCGCTGGTTGCAACGTTCTCATGGGCGCGGGCGCGGGCTCCGGCGAGATGCGCGTAGTAAACAGCTGGATGGAGCGACACTGGTGTTGTCGATCTGGCATAAGAATAACACTGATGATAGATCATCTTCTGCAAGTCATTGATAGGAATGTTCATCTCATCAATGAGCACATGATAGTGCACTGGACGAGCGGTGCCCTGGATGGCAACATGCGAGCAGAGATAAAAGTCAAGCATAAAAGGATGAGTAACTTCCTTTTCCACCAAAGTTCCCGGCAGAGCGTTTCCATTTTTATCTCCTTTCTCAGGGAAGAATCGGATGTGATGGCGCTTGGTAGCCACAATCACAGTGAATTTGGGCAATGTCATTTTGGGAGCCGCCTGCTTGAAATAATTCTTGATTTCCTTGATCTCTTGCTCGATGACATGAGCGAACTGTCCCTCGGCGACACCGTCCCGGAAATACATAATATGCTTGGGGAACTGATTATCATGGCCGGCCGACCAAACTTTGCTCAGATGGCCAAACATAAAGTTTACGTTGGAAGACGTCAGCATCTCAACTCGGTAGCCGTTGGTTTCCACCATGGCGGCATATTTCGTTGCGTCTCTGTCGACAGACATTGTCATGGCCGCGACAGAAGGAGATGGGCCGCCAGGCGCAGGGTGAGAAATGTCAACACCAACCATCATGGTAGGCCTATCCTTCGGGAAGTAAGTACCTTGAGTCATTCTCCATGGGGGATTGGTGCGAGAGGTAGAACCTCCAAGCTTGGCGTTCACCTTCAAGCACACGTTTGAGTGGTATTGTCCGTTGTTCTGGGCAACAGAAGCACCATTTACAACTTGCGTCAGGATGCCGAAACGGCAATCAGCAGACTTCTTGAGGCGCTCATAGTGTGGGCTGTTCTTGTGTTGAACGACGACAAAAATCAGCTGGGTGTATCCACGCTCACGAGTAATTTGATTGTGCGCGTGGGCGAGCGCGGCAGCAATATTGTTTTTGATAGGTCCTGGCACTTCCACCATCACAGGGTCAGTCCTGCAGGCGCCCCCATGGCCCATGAAGGTTGACTTGAATGTACGGGCAAACTGTTGGAGTTGGGGCTTCTGAACGCAGTCGTCCATGACCAAGAAGCCCCAGTTCTCCAGGGGCGCGTAGTTCTGTTTGAAGAACTTCTTGCCGCGTAGATCCCAACGACCAGAATATTTAGGATCAGCTGTGCCTTGGCCAAAGTTCACAATAGGAGGGGCCAAAACCCTGGCCTCTGTCTTGGCGAATGACAATTCCAGTTGGACTCCATAGTGTCTGAGATATGGATCTTGAGGCAACTGAAGGTCTCGCACGTTCTTCATAATGTCATTCTTGCGAACATTTGGGCGCGTTACCGCAATTTTAATCATGGCTGCGGTTTGCTCAGGATTCAGCTTGAACGCATACCGTTGCATTGGCTCGACAAAAGCAAATTCCATGGGGATATGTCCATTCTTTCCCGTGGAGATAAGAGGCAGGTGGGCATGTCGCAAATGCGCCTTGTACTTCTCTCGATAATAATCTGCCACCGAGATATCTCGGCCGTTGTAATCAAATTTGACGGTCCGGGCATTGGCACCTTCTGCTCCATACTTCTGATCAAATGCAAAGTCCATCACCGTGTAGACCTTTTCTGCAAGCTTGGGGTCACGATTACTGTGTCGGATAGTAAACTTGAGTTTCCGCATCTTTCGAAGCTGTTTGAAGGCATCAGAAGACTGCCACTCTCCTCTATCGTTTTGCGTAGGCCTGAAGATTGTCGTAGTTGCAATATTTATTCCCTTGTACCGCCTGTCAAGGGTACCGAGAAAGTTGGCCATGACCTGGTCCAGGGTTTGTCGGCCTGTCCAAAAGCAGGTGTTGGTAACATCTGCGTTGAGAGCAAGACCAATGCCTCCTTTCGCAAGATTGTTGGAGAGCCTGAGAGAAGCATAAGTCCCTTTGTGGACTTCAATGACTCCGCCTGCCATGAGAGGCTGGCCAGCTTCATTTCGCTTGTAGAAATTGCGCTTGATTGCCAGCAGATGCTCTGAGGGCCACTGGCGAATGAGATGGTCCATGAAGTTGAGAGCTTCTTGGACGCTATTGTTGAATTGAATTCTTCTCTCCAAGTAACCCCGGAGAGCCGCCATTTGAATCTCAGTTGTCTTGCGCAAGATGAGATAGAATTTGTTGGAGCGTCCGGATCGTGCAGGAGGCTTGCCCTCGTCCAAGTCCACTGTGACGCGAATCTCGCCACGGTCTACTAAAGAAGGAGACCATGCCAGTCTGGAGCCGTCTATAATCCACATTTGGTAGTTATAGGGTGCGAGCGCATTCTTGAGATTCGCGTGAGCCCAAATCTTCTTCAAAACTGGTCCACGTTTGTCCGGTTCAGGCGAAAGGACAACCTATCGGAATGAAAATTAGTAATGAGCTTTCCGATTATTGATCTCGAGGACAACTCACATCATATTGGTAGATTTTCTTGTTGAAGTCAAACTTGGTCATTCGGAACTGATTGACTTCAACAGTCTCTTGTCGACCCTCCGTGTTGAATTTGTTGTCTCGAACCACAAACACATCTTTTTGGGCCTCGTTGATAAAAAAGGCATCTGGGGGTAGTTCCATGCGAGTGTTTCCCTTTCGATCCTTGCTCTCCGGCTTTGCAGGGTCGAATCCCATGCTCGGTGCCCAGCCAGGCTGCGAACTGCCAGAGGCTGTACCTTGTGCTGGTGAGGCACCACGGCTTCTCGAAGCACCCGACGCAGATCCCTGGCGTTGCTGGGGGGTACCTGGCCCAGAGGCGGCGGGAGAGCGACCTCTCTCAGACATTTTGAGCGCTATAAAAGACAAAGAAATATGTCAGTCAAGAAATAATGAAGCCTGATGAATTCTGAAAACATGTATGAAAGCAAAAGTGTGGGAGGAGACGAAAGATAAACAGAGATGGTGACTGAACCTGAAGAGTTCGCGTTGAGCAGACGTACCAGATTGTTTTGACAACCGTTGCTAGATATGTTGGAGGCAGTTGTGCCTAAGTATGAATTGGTATCGTAAACGAAACTTGACGATAGAGTGATGCTTGAGCGATAGGCCTGTGGCTGGGTTAGCGAAATTATTTAATGACGCGCTATGGTGAGAAAGAAGGTATTTACAGATATGCTAGGGCAGCGAAGAAAGAGAAGGGACTTGGTAGAGAGGACAAGAAGAACAAAGCTGTTTGATAGGAATTGGAGAAGACGCAAGGAGCTGTTGGATAGTAGGAGATGTGATAGGTCAGATGTTGAGGCTCAGGTAAGGAAGATGATCATATGTGCAAGAGTAGACGTGAGAAGTGCAAGAACACAGGAGTGTAGTGGGAGATCAATCAAGTCGCTAAAGCTTAAAAGCCAGTGCGAGAGAAGTGATTATGGTCAGGAGAGAGGCAAAATGCAGAAAGCCGACAGGAAGTCCAGAACCCCAGGAGAGTCAGGAAATGGTCAATAGCGCAGAGCACGAGGAAAATCGCACAATGCACAATCAAACAGCAAGAGAAGCAAGAGAAGCAAGAGAAGCAAGATTGAAGAGTTTGGGGGAAAGAGCAGAAATGAAGAGGGCCACTCACTGATTGTGATGCTTGAGAAATTCACCCAAGGCTTTGCAGGAACAAGGCCAAAGGCTACAACGAGTCGAGAAGAGCTCTCCTAGAGAAGTGCGTGCGAAGAAGAGGTGTTGAGAGTGTGATGAAGAGGAAAGAAAGAAAAGGAAGAGAAGAGAAGAGAAGAAGAGAGGTCTTCTTATAGCTGCAGGGGTAGCTGGCAGAGGACGAGTGATCTGTGATGGCAGGCACGTGAGGCCAAGTGCCGGGCACCTGCAAATCAAGGCAGCAATAGCGTCACGGCAATGCAAGAATAATGTATCAATCAGTGAAAGTACGCTCGAATAGAAGTATTAGAGATAAGATTACAAGATAATAGCTGCATTCACTGAGGTGATGGTGAACAGAGTGAGGAGGGCCGAGAGCGATGTAAACTGGCAAAACTCCACTCGTCCTACACACAATAGGACTATCATAGGCCTGAATAGTAATAGAATACCTGTAACGTGTATTGCCATCAAGATACGACACCGCTCTTTTGTGCAGATGACCACGGTTAGGTGCGCCTTGGGGCTTTACTGTTTCTGCAAAACGGCTTCATGCTTCCGATGGACCATTTTAGTGAATGGATTCACATACCTACCTAGGTAATCCAAGAGCAAAACCTTGTTACAAATGCCCAAATGCACTCAGGGGTGATATACACAAAAGACACACTAAATAATTCTTGAAAATTTTAGTTATATGTGGCTATTTCAATGTAGCATGATATAAAGCTAGCGGTGAATATTGCCCCCTCGAAATTCGATATAAATGTCAAAATGGAAGAAAATTGTAGTCTACAAGAGTCCGCCCAGCCTTTGCTACATAGAATGAATAAGCATCAGGCAATCGCCAAATCCATATAGTTGCAATAACATTGCCCTTGCTGTCATGAGATAGACAAATGTGCTTGTTATATATGCTAACTGCCAGCTGACCCTTAACTAACTACCTGATATCTTGCAATCTTACGGAAAGATGCAAACGTATGTGCTTGCATATGATATCTAGGGCAAATAGGCAACCTGTCCAACTTCCTATTTCCTACCAAACGCCATCGGAATGCATCAAGAAGAACAAGCATCTGCCGCCATCAATTTCCCTCAATACCAAACCATATCTTCATGTTCCCCGCCCTCTGTATATAGTAGCAATTGTCCAGTTTGCGAAATATGTTGAAGTCTTTCAATACAATTCCCCCCACCTTGCTCAACTAAAATCGATATCCACCATACTGCCCTGGTGGCGGCGCGCTATATCCTGCAGGAGCCGGAGGCCACTGGCTCGTAGTTCCACTTGTGTCAGTGGCTCCGTACGGAAGCGTTGGGTACGCATTTCCAGTTTCTGTCCTTAGAGGCGACTGCCGGTAGACGTTAGAAGCAGGGGCAATTCGTCCATAAGGGCTGATGGGCCTTGGGAATTCTCCTGAAGCTTGCCGTCCATGAACTGGGGCAGTAAAACGATACTGTCCCCCAGTTTGAGCTTTCCAAGTCCCATAGTCCGGAAGGGGCGTATCCCGGAGCAGTGAGACCATGCCCTGCGCGCTGAGCCGCTGCGAGTCATAGGTATGGGCTGGAGGAAGAATGCCCAGGAGGAACGTGATATCTCGATGAAGAGCTGATGACTGATTGCGACGCTGCTGGTCCAGTCGGCGGCCAGCTGCGCCCTTGAGCGGAGAGCTGCCTCGAGCGAGCCTCTTTGGGGGGTTTAGCTCTTCTTCGTCCGGTCCAAGGGGGCGTTTCGGAGACGCAGTGGCCCTAATGTACTGAGGTCGGGGGCTCTGTTCTCTCTGTGGGGGAAAGCTGTTACGTGCTGATGCAGGCTGCTCGATGATAGGAGCAGCAAGCCTAGGCCTCATTTGCGCGGCTTTTGAAATGATGACGGGGGCGGCGATCGGATCAAAGTTGTCAGATGAGTAGCGAGCCGCAAAATTGGCGAGCTTTGGGTCTTCAGGAAACAGCTCCAGCATCCTCGCCTCGATTTTGTGGATCTGGGAGAGTTCGCCGTATTGAGATTCATACTTGTGAAAGTAGGAGTATAGAGGTTTAGCCTTATGAAGCGTCTCTGGATTGGCGACAAGGCGGTTAACGCAAGTCTCAAAAACCACTCGAGCATCTATACGACGGTTAGAGTTGTGATTCTCAAAGTATCAGGATATAAAAAACTTACTCGTTGTATCGTCCTTGGAATGCAAAAACTTCAAGTACTCGACAACGAAGCCCTCGTCATTCGGAAAGAGGCGGGCTCCACGCTCAAAAATCTTGGCACCGACTGGATCTTTGTACACTACAGATTCCAACAGAGCGACGGCAACATATACGTCGCTAGTAAGACGTCCCTTCTGTCGGGCATCAGTAAAAACTTTGCGCAGCCCCCCATCGGTCTGGTTGCCTTTGCCTTGGATGCGGCGAATTGCCCTCGCCATAGCAATCCATACATATGAAATGGTGCGGGAAAGGAGGTTGGTCTCGGCAGCGTAGCCTTTCTGAATAGCAGAGATACGTTCCTCGGTAGACGCCTTCTTCAACGTCCCTTCTTCATAGTCGTCGTCCTCGATTGACTGCTGCACAGGAGCCTCAAATGCTGCCGCTTGCTTGAGGGTGGAGATTTCCAGCTTCTCGCGCTCTTTCGCCTTATCTCCCAACGCATACAAGGTATTAAGAACATCGTCAAAAGGCTTCCGTACCGCCTTGGCGAATTCGGACTTGTCTCCCTCCCTTAGCGGAGAGGTGGCCTCAATATGGTCTGCATGCTTCAGAGCAAGCAAAACGCTTTCAGGGTTCGCAGTAATTCCTTGTACCAAAAACTCAGTTCCCAGCTCTTTATCAACGTCACCTATGTCGTTCTGGAGGCACCACTCGGCTGCATCAACCCAAAGCTCTGGCCAGAAGCGCAAAGCCATGAGGGCCTGTTTGTAGCAGTACAGGACCCGCTGCGCGAATACTTTCGGTTCGTCCGTCTTAAGCACCAACGGATCTTCCTTCTCCCATTCGATCCATTTCTTCCATAGGGCAACCTGGCTGCGGAATTCCTGGTCTCCTTCAAATCCCGGTGCCGGTGGTAATCGAGGGAGGTTTGTGCGTTTCAAGTCTCGTGTAATATTATCCAAGGCAATGTTGCCGCTCTTTGCAGACATATATCCAGGAGATCGTTCTTGAATAAACTTGCGGCCCTGTTGATGGATTAGCAGACGATTACCACGATTCAGAGGATATTAAGAGACGTACTGTCACTTTATTGAGCCCCATCTCAAATTGATCATACTCTTTCCATAGATTGTTTACTGTTGACATGGGAACGTTGATCGCACGATGGTAGGCTTTGCGTAGCTGATCCATCTTTTGCTGGTCCTGCCAGCCAGTGCCTCCAATTTGGCCAGGCCCGCTCTTGATGAATTGAACGTAGTCCTGCCAGATATTGCCCGAGTCGCGATCAACGCCAATGTTATCAATTACAAATTCATACGATTGGGTCACGGTTCTTCTGGCCTGGCCCGTTGAATCATTATTGAGATCATTTCGACGGCGGATATAGTTGAGGTAAACGGTCCAGAGATTGACATTGGGGACTGTCATCAAGCATCGGCCAAAGAGCTGTTCCGCATCGACAAAGTTGTCCATGCCGAGCTCCATCTTGATCCATTCCACCCACACATCGGCCTGTTATTGTGTCAGCCGTGCATGCATATAAACCAGAAGAAAAGAAGGGAAGATACGAGGCCACTTACCGACTGGGGGAAAACTTCCAGGAACCGATTATAAACCTTGCGAACTTCGTCCAATCTGCTGTTGCGCCTATGGTCGGCAATGAGATTCTCCCAAGCATCCAAGTCGCCTCGAGGATCCTCTTTGATGCGAGCCTCGAATAACGCTACCGGATCAAGGCTAGCCACAGGTGTTGCAGTCACGTTGGGAGGAGCATTAGTGGGAAGAGGAGGGGCTGGAGCAATTGCCATCTTGATCTCAGTGGGCTGACCAACTTGACCCTGCGACGCTGAAGGCTCGCCAGGGCCTGCATTGTCTTCTTGGTCATCGTCTTCGTCGTCGGAGGCTTCCACTAAGAAGCCGCCGGACATTTTTGGCTTGGGTGTTGGACGTTGCGAAAGGACAGCGGGAGCGGCGTTTTCAGGGACTGGAGGGTCTGGGAGAACTGTTTCAACGGGGACATATTCGGGATCATAATCCCCTCCATCCTCTGTTCCATTATCCGCTGATTCACCTGACACATGAGAGTCTTGAGCAAAGTTATCAACTTGTTCGTCGCTATGCTGAGTATGATCGCCTTCCGCGGCCGCAAATCCTTCATTGCCCCACGAAGTGCCTTCGGAAGCCATCTTGAGAGGCTTTCTGTATAATTCAATTGGGAACACCACAGAGAGACCGGCGGGAACCGATTGGGGGGATTGTTTTCGACGATGGGGAACTGTCAATGGCACACGCAAAAGGAAGGGAAACTTGAGGGGCTCGCTACTAGGCAGCGCTGCCAAAGTGCCGCGGCGGTTACGGATCGATCGACCTTGCAAGCTGCCAACTCTCAGTTAATGAAATCCTCTGGAGATGGTGATTATTGAGAGATTCATACCAATGCCACAATGCCAATGCAATGAACAATCCAACGGATAGATACCGTTTGCGTCACTGCCGGCCGGCAAATCGCGTCGCTCGTGGTCAGCGTCGAGGTCGAGACCACAGCGCTTGCTCGGGAGGGCGTCAAATAGGTATCAATACAGCACGATAAAGCTGCCGTTACAGCTGAGCAGGGCGCAGCAGCGATACCTGGATCAGGGTTAGGGAGCGCGCACCAGGAGCGTGTTTGGCCGAGATGATGCTGTGTCGAGGTGAGACTTGGAGCTCTGAAAATTAAAGTCGCCCAAGCTCCCAATCGGGGAAGGCTGCAGACCAGGCTGGAGTCTTGTCTTGTGAGACAGAGGGAGGTACAGGTGCGAGTACCAGGACGAGGTGGCTACCAGGTGGCGACTAGGGAGGTACGTACCTGTTGGTTAGCCTACCAGCAGTGATCCTGGTCCCAGCGCAGTGCTACCAAGGTACCCGGAAATATTCGCTACCAGGCACCACAACATCCCACCTGTTACGGTACACCAGAATCCGTTGGCCAGTGGCACCAGTTGCCAAAATCAAATCACAAGCGCCACACAAACCACTTAACGCGAAGCGCTACGGTCGCGTCTCCAGCCGCTATAACTTGTTTCAACTTCTTCCTCTCGCAATCTGCTTGTTCAGCCTTTCCTCCCTCAAAGTGCAATCGTGTCTTGTCCCTTCTCTGCACAAAAAAGCCAGCGATCTGCACGTTCCTTTGCATTTGCATCCCACTCTCGGCATCGCCTCTCGCAGCCAGCTTGAAGCATCATCCTTGCCGTTACCGACTTTCTCTGTTGCCCCTCCAACGATTTCTGAATTCCTATCGCGGCTTCGACCCAACCTCTCGCGCAGTTTTTCTCTCCGCTGTGGGTGCAATTGAGCTCTCTCACGGCACGCACATCTACTCTATTGTCCTTTTCGTGTCACAGTTCGTGAATATCCGCCACCATGTCTGTCGTGTCACTTCTTGGGGTCAAGGTGGTCAACAACCCCGCCAAGTTCACCGACAAGTACGAGTTCGAGATTACGTTCGAGTGCCTCGAGCCGCTTGAGAAGGGTGAGTCACGACGATTAAGTCCCTTCAGACCCGTTGAAATATGATAGCCTAACTCATTGCCTACAGATCTTGAGTGGAAACTGACCTACGTCGGATCTGCCACCTCGTAAGGCGACCCCCCTCCCCTCGTTGGGCATCAGCTTCCTGCCCTGATTCTAACACATCGCAGGGACCAATATGACCAGGAGCTAGACTCCCTTCTCGTCGGCCCAATCCCCGTCGGAGTGAACAAATTCCTCTTCGAGGCTGAGGCTCCCAACACTACTCGCATCCCCGACGCCGATATTCTGGGTGTCACGGTCGTGCTCTTGACTTGCGCCTACGATGGACGCGAGTTTGTTCGGGTTGGATATTATGTCAACAATGAGTACGACTCGGAGGAGCTCAACGCAGAGCCCCCTACCAAGCCAATCATCGAGCGAGTAAAGCGTAATGTCCTTGCTGAGAAGCCCCGTGTGACTCGTTTTGCCATCAAATGGTAAGTACTTGTTTTTTCCGTCACGCGCCCGGAGCCAGATTCTAATCGTGCGTTGTTAGGGACTCTGAGGCTTCTGCTCCCCCCGAGTTTCCCCCTGAGCAGCCTGAGGCCGACCTTGTTGCGGATGAGGAAGAATACGGCGCCGACGAAGCCGAAGAGGAGGCCGCAGAGGAGGCTGCTGCCGAAGCCGCTGCCAAGGAGAAGGGCGAGGACTCGGAAATGGCAGGCATTGAGAGCGAGCACCAGAACGGTCACCATGACCACGAGGAAGAAGAAATGTCTGAGGATGGCAGCGTTGACATCGAGGGCGAGAGCGAAGACGAACTAGAGGAAGAAGAAGAGGGTGAGGGCGAGGCGGAAGGCGATGACGATGCTATGGAGGTCGACGACGCCTCGGCTGCTCACAAGCCGGTCACAGTTATGTCTTAGTTGATGCCAAGACACAGCATGAACTAAGTATCCCCAGGTGTACCGGCGCTGAGCACTTTCCTCATTTGCGGCACCGTTCAGACGGGATGATAGAGTTACGAAGACACGATGGGATGGGATGGGATGGCACCGGTTTGGTGGGAGGGGCGGATAGGCGGCTCGGTATAATTGGTGATATCTTACCCTTGCTCTCTTATGGCAGGAAAAATTACTAGTATATGACGGACATGATGATACCCGCCATGGTGTTGATAATGGATAGAGATTCTGATTAACGGGCATGATCTGGTTTGTCCTCACTGGCATGCCCCAACGGGCCACCTTGTCACTGTGATTGTCCGTCTCCGAGTCCCATCATGACAGCTTCAATATGCGTCATTCAATACGGGGGCGGAGCTCCTTTTGTCTCCGCGCTGGATGGATTGCATCCATTCCATGCAAGATCAGAAGCACCAGTGCGCTGGGACAAACTGCTGGCGGGCAAAAAGTTGGCCCTTTCATTCCCTCAAGAGGATTGGGGCTCCGCCTTCAGCCGCACCAACCCGCCTTGTCGAACTCAGCCTCACTTTTTCTCGCCTCACTCTTTGCATTGACAGCGAAGGACGACTCTTAACCGCACCAAGACACCGAACTAACTCAAGAAAAGGGAAAAGGACAAAGGGAACGTCGGCCTTCTTCCCCGGCCTTGGCTTAAGCCCCAGAGAAGAGCCGCACGTGGTGCGACGTTGACGCCATCAGATCTCACATCACCATCTAGCAGACAGTCTGTGCGGATGCAGCCTATACAATGCCAAGATTCCCACGCATGCCTTTGGCAATGGAATTGCTGGTGTTTTAGCAGTGTGCCTGTGATATGAGTCGGGCGACTCCGATGCTTTCGGGGTGCGTCATCGCTGGGCTCGGTGGAGGGAGGCAGCCGAGTTACGAACAAGAATGATGCTGTATATAAACGCCCTGTTGTAAGATACTTCATGATGATTCTTTTCTATGTTCGTTTTCCGATATGTCGTAGAATATTTGTGTATATCGGTTACAGTTTCTGTATTAGTTGATGTTTGCTATCATAGCCGTACTCTCTCTATATTGATCTATTGCTCGTCTATCTCAAAGCATGGCTGTGCAACTACGCAACAACGTCAGCCTGGAGGAGCTCGTCAAATCAGTCGAGCATCACCACGAGCAATACTTGCGCAGCCTCCACAGTTTCCACGAAGTCCTCAACCTCCAAAAGAAAGACGACAGCCGCAACACAATCCAAAGCCTAGCAACTACTCCTCCTCTGCGCGCCTTCACCTTCACTAGCGACGCCAACAGCATCCTGCATGTGCTGCCCCGTCTTCGTCGCGACACTCCCGATACCCACGAACGACCATCATGTTACCCTTCGCCCAAGTTCTTGCCGCTCACGCCAAACCTCCAAGGAAGTGGCGGCTATGTGATTCCCGATGACGAGATTCCCTTTATCCCTCTGCTGGATCAGGCTTCCACCCAGGGATCTCGCCATCTGCCCACCGATACAGCTACCATTTCGTCGTCCCATGTCCACCAGGTGCTCACCCCGATGAGCTTCTCGGACGACATGCTCCTCAGACACCTCCGCGACTCCGGGTTTTGCGAAGAGTTCTCCAGTCTGCTGGTTGATGAAGACGAGCCTCTGCGGCCGTGGGATATTGATTCGCCGCAGTCGTTCCGCGAGTTTGCCGCTGTTGAGAGGGAGCGCTTTGGAAGTTCGACGTTTGAGGTGTACGAGGTTGGGGAGGATGCTCGGGCAGTCAAGACGAACGTCGATGTCGATGTGCAGGGCTTTGTCAGATACGTCGGTGATGAGTCCCTAGAGCCTCCGGACAACATCGTTGATGCCCCTATCGTGTGGGAGGCCATCAAAGACATCAACCCCAGCGGCAAAGCTGTCGGTCGTATCACGTACGTCTCGCCCCTTGATATCACCGTCTTCTCTAATCATTTTGACTTCGACATGCTCATGAAAGTGTTTCTCTTTTAGTATCGTCCAAGAGCCAACGCCTCTCATGCTCGCCGCCTTACACCTTACCATGTCACCTCACTTCGACATGACAGAGCTTCTCCATCATCTCCTATCCGATACCCCCAACCGCGGCCGGACTCATGCCTTCATGCACCGTGCCTACGAACGAACTCCGTCAGCTTATCCGTCCTCACCAATTCTACCGCCTCTAGATCCCTGCAACGGAATCAAAGAGACGCCACCGGTCTCCTTCTCCTACCTCCGTCAGCGGTCCTTCTTCTTCGTCTTTAAATACTACACACTCCTCGGCGAGGGCCTCGATCCCGCACCCTGGCAGCTCTACGAAAAACGCCCTTCAGACAAACGCCTCGGCGACCACATCGACATTGCAGAGTGTGGCTCCGTCCTCGCGCTCTCTCTAGGCGGCGAACCCACCAAGACGCTCAAGATGCGGCCACGCAGGGAACGAGCCAAGGAAGGCTTCCTGTTTGACACGTTTGGTCCCTGGCAACTGCTTAGCATCCAAAGCTTCCCCGACGATGAACATACGGTCAGGGGAGATGACTTTCAGCTCAAGAGCTTCTGTAACGGGCCGTATGCCTTCTTGGAGCTGCTCATCGCCGAGTACCGTGACGCCGGCAAAAGGAACCAGATCTTACATGAGCGAATCACCAAGCTTATCACCCCTCCTGTAAGTCTTTCACAGAAAAGGAGTCATTCATAGCCTAATCCCCCTTGCTGATTTTTTATCTCAGACAGAGTTCATGTTCGACCACCGCCTCCGCGACAAGCTCCTTTTCGAAGATAAGCACTTCACTTACATCCGCCGCTACTTCTGGGCGTACAACACCCTCGCCGTCATCAACACGGGCATCAAAGCCATGATCGCTGCCTACGTCGACACCTTCACCGACGACTTCTGGGCCGGCTCGCACCCGCTCCTCTGGCCTCACCCGTCTCCGCCGCAGTCTCCCGACGCCATCGAATACGCTGCGAAAATGGCAGTCCTGCGCAGGGAGCTTGACAAGGTCGTCAGCGACCTAGGCGAGGTGCTCAAGCGCAACGAGCGTACGAGGAAGGAGATTGAGAATCTGAGAGACCAGCTATTCAGCGGGAGCTCCATCAAGGAAAGCAGAAGGGCCATTGATCAGGGCGACAATATTCGCATTTTGACCATGATCAGTATGCTGTTCTTACCCCTGACTTTCGTCACTGTAAGCTGTTCACTACTCCCCTATAACCAAATAGAATGAGCAAAAAGCTAACAAGTAAACTCCACCAGTCCGTCTTTGGCATTACAGAATTCACCATCCCCGTGACAGACTGGCGCTTTCCTCTTACCATGGTCCTCGTCTGCGTCCCGTTCATGATCCTCCTCTACCTCATCCAAACCCGCCCCTTCATCCAGTGTCTTCAGACGCTTCAGCGTGCAACTCAAGCTTTAACTCTCCTCCCCACTCGTTTCCTACGTCTCTTCCTCCAATTTCGCGAGCCAGATCCCTCTGCCCAAGACAGCCGGGCCGCCTCCACGCCTTCGTCACCCAAGACCCGCAAGAGGAGGCTCATTGTTAGGAGGCGAGGCGGCGGCGGAGGTAATGTCAATGGCGCTGCCATATCGTGGCGTCGACCTTGGGCCTGGATGAGGAGGGCGGCGGGCGGAGAAGAGAGCGACTTGGGGAGAGTATAACATATATATAAATACAATACTATCAAACGTCAGAAAGAGAAGGAATCAGATAAGCAATAACCATTCTTGTATATATCTCAACCAGTACAACTTCGAATTTAGAAATAGCAATAGATAGCATCACATAGAACATTGTAGCAATACTGAGAATACAAATTCAATCATGCTTCTCGCAGCGCATCTCTTCATTGCCAAGAGCTATAAGAGCAAAATGATAAAAATACAGGAATAATCAAGACTCATCCAATGAATTATTGCATTACCAACGTGGTCATTATTAACGACAGCCAGAAGAAAAAAAGACGAACAGTTCATTCGCGTGAGATTTTTGCAAAGAAAAAAAACTCCTCCCAATTCATGGACCAGCCGTTGGGGGAAAACACATAATATCGCATCTCTCCTTCCCATCATTACCAAGGTATATAAATAAGCATCGTTACAGCCCATCCACCCGCTTCAAAGAGAAACCGTGGCAAACCTGAGAGCGTACAAAGGCCGCATTACTAGTCGACACTTAAACAAGGGAAACAAAGCTTCCGTGGTGCTCCATAACGCCCTCTTTTCCCCCCTCCATCCCCCTTTGCATATAGTCATAGTGTGCAGATGAAATACGCACTTGACGTGGTGACACGTAATAAATAATGCTGACTGTGCCATCGTCAAATGGTATCTCACCATCCCTTCTTCCGAGCAAACCTCTTGTTGAGCAATGCAAGGACCTTGGGGACATTAAATTGAACGTATTCCAGGTCTAGTTCGTCCTGGTTATCCTTCTGCATCTCAAGCAGATCGTCAAGCTTGAGATCGAGTTCGAGCAATCCTCGGTTTCGGCCTATTTTAACTCGTTAGCACGCGAAAGACATTGATAGCGAATTGTAAAAGAAACTCACCCTTGTAGTGCAAGGAAATGACAAAGGTGCCTGGTAGCGGACTGGTAAAGTTGAAGTAGATATTGGCCCGCCTGTTATCCGGGACATTACTCTTCTGGATGACGCCCTCCTTCTCCAACTGCTGGTGCGTAAACTTGTACGGTCCAAGAACCTGCTGTTTCTGCTGCTTTCGCTTGGTACCTTCGCTCTGTGATCGTACATTATGAAGGTAGCTCTTATATGTATCCAGCTGGCCAACCAAGTATGCGTTGTGGTCGCGAATCGTCTTGAAAACTTCTTCGAGCTTCTCAGTCTCGGCAATCACACCATCCTTCAACGAACCCAAATGTTGAAGCTCCTGCTCCACTTCATCCCTCAGCAGGTCAAACTGGTCGGCCTTGTCAATGACGCCGAGTTCCTGTAGCTGCGACAACAGCTCCATGGCCCGGATACCCTTGCGCACCATGACGGCGTCATTGCGGCTCGTGGCAGCTGCATCTGCAACGCGCTCAAGTCGCAACGGTCGCCTCGAGACGGCACTGTTCTGAGGGATGGTTCGCATGATCTGCACAAAGATGGACTTGGCTTCCATAAAGTACACTTCCTCCTGTGTAATATCCAGTGCCGCGGTCAAGTCATCAATCGCAGTCTCCCATCTGCTAAACAAGGGAAGGTTGATAACTCGGTTCTCCTTGCGAGGCACTTGTGGAGGAGCCGATGCCAGCTCAGACACAATGATGGACAAGTGAGATGACTCATCTTTGCACAACTCATTGCGATGCTTCTCAATCAGCGAATGCATGGCATAGATTTCATTGAGCGTAATCTCAAGCTCAAGGTCTTTCTTTGAAAGCGCCACATAGTTGTCCATTTCTAGACTTTCGTAAAAGTCGCCAACCTCGCAAAGGTCAAGCATGAATTTGTTAATCCTGTCCTTGTTCTGTTGGATGAAGGGCTGGAGCTTGGCCATGTAAGGCTCCTTGGAGTACGAGGGCTTGTTTGCCAAGTTCTGAAGCATCTTGGCAATCAGGGTGAGGGTTCTGCGAGGTCGCTCGGCGGGCGTTCCATCAATGAGCATGTACGACTTGGGGGTCACAATGGCCGGGTTGATGAAGCGCAGGAAGAAAAAGCCGCCGATCAATGTGCAGATAATCTGGTCGTTAGCATCGGGATATTTGCGCTTTGTCAAGCTCCTGATCTGCTTGCAGATCCAGCGAATGCCATAGGGCGCCTCTTCCAGCCCTTCGATGATGGTGGATAAGAAGCCATTGGCAATCTCGATGAGCATTGTCAATCGGGGCTCGATGATAGCTTGGACTTGGGGATTCTCCGCCGCCTGCTCAGCGGTAATGCCCTTTGGTAGATTTGGCGGTAGCGTGCCGGTATCTTCTTCAATTTGCTCAACCATGCGTTCATAGACTTTGAGGGGGTTGATTTCCAGATCCAGGTCTCGCAGTTCGATCAAGCTGTTGATTCTGTCGGCCAAGGCGATCTTCAGGAAGCTTTGACCGGGGCCTCTTCGCGTGTAGGTCGTCATCATGCGGGAAACGGGCGTATTGGCTCGGAGCAGTGAGGAGTAGTCGGGGGTATTGTCGAATTGATAGGTGAGAACAGACTAAAGGAGAGAAACATGGCTGTTAGACAGAGGTACGACAACGCAACCGAGTTAAATGCAACATACTTGGAACATGGTAAGAAGCAAGTGCTCTTCTCGGCTTTCGTACTGGTTTCCGTAAATGGTGAACATGACCGTCTGAAGAAGTGAATCGATTTCCGACATTGAGACGAGTCGGCACAGGTGAGCAATGTGTCTGGGCTCGGACTGCAGAAGAAACATGAGATTTCCGTATTTTTGCGTCTTGTCGTCGTTGGGGAAGACGCCTTCTTCCATTTCAGTATCATCAAGATGGCTGGCCACTTCGTTTTGCTGCAACGGCGTCAGAAGCGTTCATTGGACAAGCATCACACCGCGTTTTGATACATACTTCTTCCAGCGCCATGCGATTCTGGATGAGTAGCGCAATTCTCGAATCAAGATAGCGGACGTCCTTTTCGAGAACAAAGTTCTTCTTGGACTGGGAGGAGATTTTGGATTTGAGATCTCGCAGGGCTTTCTGGGCTGTAGACTGGGCGTCAGCTGTGGTGTACTCCAAGGGGGAAGGGCAAAAGCCAGGCCTAGTGCATTATGTATTACCTTTAGCGAGATCGTCCTCAATTTGCATCTCTCCTTCATTTGCTGTCATGGACATGTACAGCGCGGACATGGAGTACCGCTTCGACTGGCGCGCCGAGCGCGAGCCATCGTAGGTAGACATGGTGTTTTGCCGTGACAATTGTTGAAAGGAAGAGGTTGACGCAGTGGAGGCTCTCGAGGGGGTATGGAGCATGACAGGCATTATGGGTATTTGGCGCTGTGCGACAGAAGGGAGGGTCGGGCCTTGTCGCCCCAGAACCTCGAATTTCGTCGACTATGAAAGAAACAAATAGTCGTTATTAAGCGATAATGCTCATCACTCGGCAAAGTGATATTCCAATCGAGATTTAATTAAGCTGATTGGCCTTTATTTCATGTGGCTCACGTCGTCGGCGACGATTGTCGAAACAAGGGAGGGGGGATGAGAAACAGAAGACGCAGTGTCGCCAAACAAGGAGAAGGAGAAAAAAGGTGCAGTCGCTGATAGCACGCTCGTGGTACAATTTGCGTCGGCTTCGGGAGAGCTTCGCAAGCGATTTAACGATGGTGTAACGATTCGATCGAAGATGTCTTGTGCAGTTCAACGGAAAGCGTGGACGGTGATGATGCCAAAACCCGCTGACGGGTCAAGCAGTGCTGAGCGTTCTATCTCCGTCAAGCAAGAAAAAAAAAGAGGAAAAGCTATGCTGATGCCGCATCCAAAGCAAGAAAAGAGCAGAGGAAACAACGCGCGTGTCGAATTCAAAACGGGCGAGAGAGAGCTTTCGTCCAGGATAGTGTCGCGCAGGAAAGGCGGGATAGAAGAGTTGCTGGTGGAAGAGCGAAGCGTCAGGGCAGCGTCGCCAGCCGAGCGACACAGAGGCAAATTTCGGTTCGACAGAGACGCGCGAGGCAGAAGTTTGAAGTCGGATGCGAGCAACGTCGTCGCCTGGCGTCCAACTATAAACCAATGCTTGCGGGCGACAAAGACGAGAGTTGCGGAAGACACAAGGCACGGCAGCAAAAAGGTTTGTGGCTGCGACGGCTGGCAATGGGTATCAAGTTGGCAAGATGCAAGAATAAAACTGGAGCAGCGCGCCTTGTTTGGGAGAGTTTGAGAGGGGAAGCACGTCGCCCAGGGGTTGCAGAGCGACCAGCCAAGCAGCTGCAGGCGCCAGCCCAATCAGGCCAGCAGCCAGGGAAGAGCAGGAAAATTGAAAATAGGCACGGCCGGGTCCTCAACGGGCTAGACTGCCCTCAGGTTGCCTTCAGGTTGCGGCCATCAACGTGCAAAGCGCGATAGTAGTGCACCGGGCCAGACGTGAAATGAACCAGACTTGACCCAGACTTGATACAGGCACGAGTACGAGTACCTGGCGCGCCCACCACGTTGCGCAGTGGGCACATGTACATACCCGGACAGGCGCTAAAGTGCCGTACCATGGCCCTGCAGTGGTCTGGGGTAGCGCTGCCAGGCCCTGCTCAGGGACAGACGGAGTACCCGCCCGTCTATCGGAAAGGCTGCAGCGCGCTGCGCACTTGTCAGGGCATGCCAGGGGTATCAGTGGCGCGTGTGCCCACCATCACTAGCGGCGAGCCATTGATGAGCTTGAGCCTTTGCCTTTGTCCACTGCTGGTCAACGACTGATTTTGCTGCCGTCACCTGCATGCAGCCATCCATCTGGAGCGTCCGGAGCACGCCCTATCACAGTGTCGCATTGCACTTTTGGCAGACAACAGCGTCGTTGAAGAGCCAAGGCCTCGTGCAGCAGCATGCAGGCGTCAGCGAATGGGTGATCCATGGCGCCATCCCCATATCGTGTGCGACGACGCCGTTCAAATCGGGGGGCCTCTGTGCTCCCGGTACATGTACTCGTACCTACGAAGCAATGAATGACTTACGGTCTTAGTGTCGTGTTACCTCCTCTAACCTTGCTACCCTGTGGATACAAAAGTTTTTTTCCCTCTCTCTCGTGCTCTCTTTCTCTTTGTTCCCGTCTTCCCTGTTGTCGTCACAAACTCTCCAAGCATCATCCACGACAAAAGCTCTTTAGGCCCTCTCCGTGCGCTCATGTCCCAGACACGAGAAAGATAGTTCCGCCTAGCCCTGCTTCCAACAGGCCGCTAGAGCAAAGGGCATTAAACACGAGTAAGGTGCTGATCCAATGTGCAATCTAGAGGGGCGGCGGGGTAGCACTGCGTGTAGCGCCGAGCCGTAGGCATGTACCTGCTACTCGGAGCGTTGGACAAGAGTTCGCATGAGCTTCGCAGCACTGTGCCAGTTGCGAAGTAGCAGTACTCACTTTGTGGCACCGTTCTGACAATTGGGTACATTCACCTACCAGCATTGAGCGATGATACCCTCAAGGCCTTGCCAACTCTGGCCGCCGGATAAAATAAATGCATTTGCTAGCCAACGGCAACAGCATGGCCCCCATGAAGTTGCACTCGCGCGTAATGGTCGTGCCAGTCATAAGCGAGGCAGCAAGAAAGCAAACAAACAAAAGTTCGGTTCCTCGATCGACGGAAGAGAGAGAGAAGAAAAAAAGGCTGCACAGTGCTTTATGTGATAGATTGATGCTTTTTGTGTTCTTGCTACATCACAACGCCAATGCCCGTCTTGAAACCGTCGGCGTTGCGTTTCAGAAAGCACGCACTAGTACCGAGTTCTATGCACAATGGAGGTCGAGGAGGCGTGAGGATGACGTCTGGCCCTCTGCTAGTTCAAGCATTCGCAGTGTTCGTACTGTAAACGGTACAGGCACTTGGGTGTGCTTGGCATCCATCGCAACCGAGAGTGCCATGGAATGGTGAGCATGTTCGTACGAGTACGGTACGTGTACGGCAGCGAGTATCAATACGGAGTAGTCGAGATTTTTGGTCCTCCCTTACTACTGTTATCCAGTACAGGTACGAGACGACCACCAGCCTGTACTCGTACTCCGTACTGTAATGTATCAGCACACACTGATGGCTCTGAAACGCACCATTTGCCTGTCACCTTGTCTGGAGTAGCATGGGTGAGGCGCCAGGGGCAGGGGCAGGTGGGGCCTGGACCCAGATGATTTTGCCTATCTGTGCGAACGGAGCATTGTGCGGAGGATAACACAAAAGCTGTATCGATCCAGCAGCCCCCTTGGCGTCACGGCTGGGGATCACCACGTCAAGTTGCTGTGTACGGAATGCAGGCTCATCAAAGAGCCCGGCATCGCTGAGCCCCTTGCCAAACAAATGGAGACAGATGGAGGCGAGTTTTCCAGGCGCATGTGGAAGTTATTAGATAGGCCTACTCGTCCTCCGTAGATACTAAGCTTTTGCAAAGCCGTCTTTGGTCTATTAGAAATGATGAGCGCCAACCTGAACTGCTAATAGCCTCCCTTGCGCAAAGTGCCCACTTGAAAACTACCCGCTCGTCGGGGGGGTCCCATGACCGCTCAAGTGAGATGAAATTGATCCATGGATGCTTGGCGGCTAGTGCCAGATGCGGAAAAGGCCCAGGTACGGGATACGGAGTGTCAGGCTCGATATAATTCCCGAGAGAAGAGGGAGAGAGACGATTGCCATGGCACGAAATCGCGCGATGGCATCAAATCTAGACCTTGGAAAGCCCACCCCTCGTATGCAAGTACGTTCTACTAATGCGCGGTGATAGCATCTATAAAAAGCCAATTACGACATGCTAGTAACGGCGACTGCGGCTATCCACGACTTGAGCGTCCCCCACACCTTTTGGCCACTGGGCCACTGGCATGTGCAAATCCAATGCTCAGACCAGCTTGAACACCTAAGCCAGCGCACAAAGTCTGGTGAGGCCGCTTCATCTCTACCATGTCTGATGCTGATGCATTTCATATTATCTCATGCGCTTCTCTTGGTTGACTGCGTCATTGTCCTCGCAGTCCTTCAATCTCGAGGCAATCCCAGAAGGGCAGGAAAGGTCCCCCAACATCCCATCACGAAGCACGTCCCTCTGCACTGCCCGTGCTCTCCCCCCCTGTGATCTGCTGGTTGCCGAGTGAAGTTTTTGCCGGCATGTTACGTCAGAGAACTTCCCTTTGTCGTCTATTCCTCAGTGCCACTAGTAATTTGACCACAACACAATAGACGAAGCATTGAGAAAACCGTACGAATACATACTTTCGTAAACGCACATCGAAGGCTAATTAGGTCAATGCTCTCGGGTTTAGAACACAGGTATTAGTCAATGGGTTGATGGCCGTATCGTGATGCCAGGGGAGATGTGTAGTACAAAGGTCCCAAGATTAGACTTTGCAAATTCGTATCACACAAAGGGACAGGTAATATTTTTCTTTCGTCACTCGCTACGCGAGGCTTTATTGCGGCATACACATACCATTAACCATGCAAAAGTTTGTACAGGTAAAGAGAAGGAGTATTAATCTTGTTGTTGGTGAACTTTATCAACCCCGGCCGGTGGGCCCTGGCCTATTGAAACCCAAAGTTGGTTCAATTTCTAGACTGGGAGCATGCAGGCGCGAGTAGCACAACTCAATTGTGATGATAGACGGTGATTGTACCGAGCTCGAGCCAAATCACCCACCCGTCATCAACGCAGCAGATCAGGCTGTGCAAACTGTCTGTTCATATACTCGTAGATGCCAATCTCTGCTGCCAAGTCTCTTGCCAATCCAACTGATTTGCAGGGCGGCTTTGTGAGCTCCTTGCTCCGTGAAGCTATGTACTAAGCACCCAACGCTGAATGATGTGAGCGGGGCCGGTTGGCTAAGCCGAAGGGGCCCGGGCTGACTGTACCAAAACCCCGAACTCGTTGACGCCACTCCATCGTTCAAGCTCAGTTCCGTAGCCACTCCCATTGCTCGCCGCACCCATCATTCGACCTCGCAGTCTGACATATCAAAGTCTAAGCAGTAACAATGGCATTCCGCTCGTCTTTCCGTCGCATTGCCCTGGCCCGCCCCGCCACCGTTGCGCGTGGCTTTCACTCGACGCCCCGAGTCCTTGTCAGGAAGGGTGACGAGATCCCCAGTCTTGAAGTGTTCGAGAACTCGGCCGCCAGCAAGGTGAACCTGGCCGAGGAATTCCAGAAGGGCAACGGATACATTATTGGCGTTCCCGGAGCTTTCACCGGCACCTGTTCTGGCACGCACATTCCGTCATACATCAACCACCCCAACCTCAAGCAGGCTGGCCAGGTCTTCGTCGTCGCCGTCAATGACCCCTTTGTGTAAGCGATTGACATCTCGTGGATAAGCCGGCAGAAGATGCTGATTGTATCCTACAGTATGAAGGCATGGCAAGACCAGCTGGATCCCGCCGGCGAGACTGGAGTGAGTTATTTTGACATACATGGCATGTGTCTAAACAACTAATAAACATGCACAGATTCGGTTCGTTGCCGATCCCACTGCTGAATTCACAAAGGCCCTTGACCTCGGATTTGATGATGCTGCTGCTATTTTTGGAGGTCTCCGAAGCAAGCGCTATGCCTTGAAAGTGGAGGACGGCAAGGTCACAGCGACCTTTGTCGAGCCAGACAGCACTGGCACAGCCGGTGAGTATTCTTCTTCTCCTTTCTAAGCATGACCAAGTTAAGAAAGACCCTGACTCTTTGTGTTTCACAGTGTCAATGGCCGAGCAGGTTCTCAACTAAAGAGCAGAATAAATGGAGGGAAAGATGTCATCTTTCTCATAAATACATGGCGCATTAGGCCACGACTTTCGGTGTCAGCGACGTCAAGGGAAATGGTGCTTACATGTGCATTTGAACCTGCTACTAGTAAAAGTGTCGCATTGTTCAAAAGCAGATGAGACCTGGGCCAATCTAGTCGACGCTTGATTACTAAGTATGTGTGGAATGCAAAATTCTCTGATAGAGCATGAGTGCGAGTCGTGTGATGGTGAAGTCTTGGAAGATGCTTTTTATATCTGAATCAACAATTGGGCTACAACAACTTTCCAACAGTGCTAAGGTGATGTCTACTACCGCGACAATACACGGCCCTTCCTTGCTTTCATGTAATATATGTCGCGGACAGACTACTAAACTCATGAAGCGATGCTGCCTGGTGATGGTTTCTTACCTTTATATGCGCCATAGGTACTTACGCGTCTAGCCTTGAAAAAGATAGGCGCGGCAGCATTCAGGGTAGCATCTAGAATGACGGGACGGTACTAATGTCAATATGAAGATGTGTATTCAACTACAAAATGATCATATGCTACGTGGGCTAAGAGCACATTGAAGAGACTAACTGCAATTTTGGTTTTGTCAGTATCGGTGCTTGGAGTGTGCAGTTGAGAGTTAAGCCTGGACTCAGTGTTATAGGATCAAAGTATCTGAATTGGCTTCGTCCCTTATCTGATAGGGATGCAGCAACTTCCGTTACGGTACAGGTGCTCCGTTGTTACAGAAATCGTACTCAGAGGCGCTGAAGTTGATATAAGAAACCTGACATTAATAACCTTCGGACATATCGCGAGTAGTGCTGTGGAGTGCTGGCTTAGAGATACTTTACTGACAGGACTTTGCATGTCGCCACTCGGCGCCAGAATGCACGCAAGCATCAACTGCATCAAATCTACCGCCTGTCGTTGGCCACCTGACAATGGCCCGCTGCAACCGCTGCCTGCTCAGCTGCCTGCCTGACTCAGCACTGCCGAAGAAACCCCGGTGCCTTAGTCCACGCCTCGCCTGCCCAACTCGACTTTCTTCATCTTGTCCTGTCGCCTGGTCATGGCCTGAATCACTTATATGAAGCACTTGTCGGGACCTGATTTGCAATCTTCCCTCTCCTTGATTCACCTTTCCCCCTACACAACACTCTTCTTGCTCTTCCCAAGCCTTACTCTCCTTGGATGAGCAACGTGCTGCCCTCCCTTTACTGTCGCTCCAGCCTTTGAGCCCCATCGTTGCGTGCATCTGAGACGACGAAACGCCGTCATCAGCGCCCCTCTTAGTGTGCTGCACTACCACTACCATTTTTCTGCCGACGCATCATCGTCGACTGGCACGTTTGCTGCATCTCGGGGAACCACCGTCACGATTCCTCCCATAACAAGAAAACGAAAGGCTGCTGAGGCGACGATCACATCCACCGACTCTGAAAACACTCCCCAGAAGAAGATCGTCGCCTCAGCTAGTCTCGCTGCTGCTCCTCCCACGCCCGTCACCACCCGCGAGATGGATTCCGAGGAAGAGTATCTGTCAAGCTCCGATGAGCTGATGCCAGACGATAGCGGCGATGAAATGTCCGGTGCTGAAGGTAAGCCATCCTGCCCTCCCTTTGCCGGCCCTCTCGGGTAACACCTGTCAGCCTGACTAATCCATGTTGTTGGTTCTCTAGATTTTGACGAGGATGACTTCGACGAACCAGACCCCGATTTCGGCCTCTCCGCGAAAGATCTCGACAAGAAGAAGGTAGCCGCTCACGCGGTATCCTTCAAAGTCTTCGAGCCGTCCGACATTAGGCGCCAACAGGATGACATGATGAACGATGTCAACATGATCCTTGATATGAACAAGGAAGATGCCGCCATCATGTTACGCCACTTTCGATGGAACAAGGAAAGACTATTAGAAGACTACATGGACAGGCCTGAAAAGGTCCTAGAGGCTGCCGGGCTGAACAGTAACACTTCTAGCCAGCCTAAGTTGCAAGCCATCCCCGGCTTTGTATGCGATATCTGCTGCGAAGATGAAGAGGGCCTTGAGACCTTTGCTATGAAGTGTGGCCACCGCTACTGCGTTGACTGTTACCGCCACTATCTTACCCAGAAAATCCAAGACGAGGGCGAGTCTGCTAGGATCCAGTGTCCGTCAAATGGATGCGGCCGTATTCTAGACTCACGGTCGCTTGACCTCCTAGTTACGCCAGAGTTGACTGATCGCTACCATGAACTGCTTAATCGCACATACGTGGAGGACAAGGATACATTCAAGTGGTGCCCGGCCCCAGACTGCCCCAACGCCATAGAATGCGGAGTCAAGAAGAAGGACTTGGACAAGATTGTCCCTACTGTGGAGTGTCTCTGTGGTTACAGATTCTGCTTCGGGTGCCCAAATCCCGACCATCAACCAGCACCCTGCGATTTGGTTAAGCGATGGCTGAAGAAATGTGCCGACGACTCCGAGACGGCGAACTGGATTTCCGCCCACACGAAGGAGTGTCCCAAGTGTAGCTCGACGATCGAGAAAAACGGCGGATGCAACCACATGACTTGCCGCAAGTGCAAGTATGAATTCTGCTGGATGTGTATGGGACTCTGGTCTGAGCACGGCACTAGTTGGTACAACTGCAACAGGTATGAAGAAAAGAGCGGAGCAGAGGCTAGAGATGCGCAAACCAAATCTCGCACGTCTTTGGAGCGTTATTTGCACTACTACAACAGATATGCCAACCATGAGCAGTCTGCAAAGCTCGACAAAGACATCGCACAGAAGACGGAAAAGAAAATGGTACAGCTTCAGACGACATCAGGCATGTCCTGGATCGAAGTGCAGTATCTCAACTCGGCATCTCAGGCGCTTCAGACATGCAGACAGACTCTCAAATGGACTTATGCTTTTGCATTCTATCTGGCGAAGAACAACTTGACAGAAATATTTGAAGACAACCAAAAGGATCTCGAGATGGCCGTCGAGAACTTGTCTGAGATGTTCGAGAAGCCTATCCAAGAGCTATCCGACCCAAAGCTCAAGGTCGATATCATGGATAAAACCTCCTACTGCAACAAGAGACGTGTCATTTTGCTGGAAGACACTGCTGAGAATCTTGCAAAGGGTACGACAGGCACCGCTACCTCAATCCATGATTCTTTAAGACTAACCATGAGCGTATAGCTAAATGGACTTTCAACGCCGATCTCATGACAGGATCAACAGTGTTGCTTAACAAGCGTTGAAAGCAATGATACAGTCGTAGCTGATGGGGTACTTGGATGCCTTGCATTCACCGGCCAAGAGCCTCTACAGGTACTCCATACGCGTTATACGTCTGCATTCACACTCACTGCAAGGTGTGATGCGCTTATAGAGCAACATGGGATATTACTTCTCGTCTATCAGCGGCGAATCACTGCCACTCATGGAGCGATTGTATTCCAGCGTCAGGAATTTTCGCTCCCTCAAATATAGACTACCAGTGTTATTTTTTAACGATATTCAACGACTCAACTACGGCGTTTGGGAAATTAGGCATGGTACATGGGAGACGGATGGTTTCTGCGGTTTCTGCGGTTTCTGCTTAGCTGGGTGCTCTTCTTTTTTCTTTTCTTTCCGTTCCCCTTCCCCCTCACACCCTCATAGCCTGTACCATTGTCATTTTAGTCGATTTCCCAGTGTTGTATGTATACGGACCCCTTTGTTAAGTTCAGCATATGGCTACAGCATGCACTCGCTTAGAATACGAGGATCCACGATACATACAAAGTGCATCCCTAGGAGGCAATACTAGATGATGGGAGCTTGAAGCCCCTTTCTCCCCCCTCGATTTATCTTGGTAGTTTGAGGCGTTAATGTACAGAATATTTACGATGTAACACACCTGTGCAAATGTTATAGTAGCGCCTGTGAAATGTGCATGAAGGGTCCTCTGCATCGTACCTAGGACTTTGCCAGACTTAAACGATGGACTCAAAACTATGAGAAACGATGAAGCTCGAACATACGACATTTATTTCTTTCATCTACCTAAGCTATCTATGCCTTTACTACTCTACTATTTCCTGTGATCAAGGCCGTCATGATCCATGGACGCAAAACCAGCCAAACAACAATGCCCTCAACAGAACTCTTAACAAAAAGACCAAAGTTATTTAGGCTTCCAATACGCAGAGAAAAATACCAACACCAATTGTCCCGTAACGTCCAAGGCGTTTCGTCTCCCCAAGCCCAAACGACAACAAAACCAATGAGTTTCTGAAGCAAACGCCCGTGTATGAAACATCATTAACACATTAACATTGAACCACAAACCCCAGACTTCCAAATCGTCTGATGAAGTGGTGGGTAAGGTAGATAAAAGGAATTACGAGTGGTAGCACAACGCGCCGCCCTTAGGAATAAGCGAAGCGGGCAAGGTTGAGCTTTTTGGTAGGAAGCTTGGCCTCCTCTTCCTCTCCCTCCTCCTCTTCCTCGTCACTATCGGGGATGATTTGGTCTTCGCTTCCGCACGGCTTATTCAGCGCCTCCATTTCATTCAAGTCTACCTTGGGGAGTGGGATACGCTCAGGTTCGATTGGTCCTTTGGCGCTCGGGCTCTCGCCGGCATCTTTTCGCGGCACGGACAGTGTTGGAGATGACGGAGTTTTGAGCGCCCACGCTCTCATGCGTTGAAGGGGCGTTTGCCTCGCTCGGGCAGTGGAGGGCGCGGTAGATGCTGTAGAGGCAGCGCTGAATACTGAGCAGGATTGTGACGTTGTTGACGCCGGCGTATCCGTAGATTTAGAGGAATATGAAAACCGAGATAAGCTAGTTCGAGCTCGAGGGGGAGTGCGAGCGATTTGAGGCGTTGAATCTGGCAGCTTTGGAAGTGGCGTAGAAGCATCGACCGAAGACTCGGGGGTTTCATCGGGGGTTTCATCGGGGGTTTCTGGCTGGCTGGTGTCTAGAGATGTGAGCCCTGTTTCTTGGCTTGTAATTCCTGGTTGACTACGGCCAGGTTGCTTCGTATCTGTCTGAATAGAGTCTTGTCGATTAATGCTTTCGGGCTGACTAGGAGGCAGCTCCTTTTGCTTGTCAGAAAATATCGAAACGCCTCTCTTTGGCGGTCCAGACGCCCAGCCTTCAATATCGGGAAGATTGTTGAGCGCTTCATCCAGAGAGTCATCTGATAACATCAGATATACGTCGCTGTTTGCCTTCCGTGGGCTCTTTCTGAGTGCTTTCTTGGCAGCGAAGAAGCGACTCTTCTTTGGTGACCCGTCTGCGTCAGCATCAAACGAGTCGTCACACAGACGTGCTTTCTTGGGAGGTCTGCTCGAGGCCTCTGCCTGGGGTGGGCGACTGTTTGAGACACTGGCTAACAGACTAGAGATCGGCTCAGTACGCCGTCGATTCAGACGAGGCGAGGTCCGTGGAGCTGGTTGCGTCAACTGGGGGAAATTTGTGCCATCAGCCGACTGCTGCGATCCAGGAATGTAAGGTCTCGGTAACGGAAACACTCGTGGATTGGCGCCCTCGGATGTAATTTGCGAAAGCCGTTGAGGGTCGACCGAAAAACAATTGGCGTCCATCTCGGCCATAGGTATCCGATCATGTCCCTTGAAGTATGAATTGATGGGCTTGGAAAGCGGGCGACCCGAAGCATCGGCGGCCGCAGCGCTCTGAGAATGCCTCCGCTTGGAAGGTGTAGCCGGTAGAGTGATTGGTAGTTTCGTGATGGGATTTACATCGCCATTTGCAATTTTGCGAGCCATCTCCGGCTCAACGTAAGATCCAATAAAGGGCATTTCCTCCGCTGTGCGTGTCCCATCCAACTCTGTGAGATGAACCAACTCTTTCTTAGTAGGGCAGAATACCCATTGATGCAAAAATGTGAGCTCCGCCTGGTAGAACAGAGTCAGGTAGTTCTCTGACACGCGTTTCCCCTCGAATTGCAGCAAGCGGACAATGCGCTCAGGAGACTTTGTTTTTCGCAGCATCCGGTACGCTGTTTTCAGCCCTACCCCTGGAAGGCCATTGAGATAATCACAGCCACTCATGATCGCCATTCGTCGAAACTCAGTGTCGCTCCAACCGGTCAAAGAAATCTCACGGCAGGCACAGAAGTCACGCCGGTTGATCTCAATGCAGTTTCCATATTGATCCAACTTGGTTAGCAGCCGCTTTGCTCCAAAGACGAGCAGATCTGAGTCATCTGAAATGATACCATCGACGAAGCCGTGGCGCTCAAGGTACACGAGTTGAGCATCTGCTTCATATGGGGCCACGACATAGGGGATATCCATCTTTCTCAGCTGCTGAATCAGGGCAGACGCCATTTCGGGAGTGATGTCAATGCATTTCTGGAATTCCTGGGCTGCCTGAGAGGACTTTCCGGCCTTCAGATATTCGTTGGCAAGCCTGAGTTTTTCCTCTCGCTTTTTAGCACGAGAGGCCTCGGTAGCAGCCTTGCTAGGGAGAAAGTCGCCGTCAAATACCATGTAGGGGGTGACGCCGAAATGCTTCAGCATCTTAACTCTATGCAGAGCCGCATTGATAAACCTTGAAAGTGGACGTGAGTTTACCGCACTGAACATCATATAGTTAGGCTTCTTGAACTCACTTCTTGGTAGGTTTTCCTTGACCAAGCTCAACCGCACACGAATAGGCAGCCCGGTGCAGCCATCCATAACCGTCTACGGCCAGAGTCTCTCCATTGAACTTTTTCAGCTCTGTCGGCTTCTGGATCGACTTGAGAAGCGGCAGAAGGCCTTTTCAAGGTCAGTATCAGCATGACAACTCCAATTTAAGCAGCTCTGGTCACCGATCCGCAACCTCATCATGTCATATCCTTACCTGATACACCCATTTTGATACCCCACTCAAAAATAACCAAATCCAAGGAATAATCGACAAAATTTCAAGGGCTCCCGCTACAAATGGCCCCAATCTCACTCCCTAGGTTCGCGCAACAAGCCAATATGCCCATACATCGACTGAGGACCCCTGGACGTGGTGACTGCTGAGCACGAGGCCCAAACAGACAGGGCACGTCGAGCAGTAAGGAGCGATGCGGCGGCAGTCGTCCGGCTACAAGAAGGCAGAATCACGCGTCGTGGCAGCGGACTCGTCGGCAGGAGGATTGGGAGCGGAGAAGCGTCTGTCGGTGTAGCAAGTGAGGCGATTGAAGCGGACAAGATTCACGCCTGAGGTGCGAGTTGCATCTCGGCTAACGGGCTTATGGCTCTGTAGCTGCTGAGACAAGACGCGCCGGGGGGCTTTAATGGGCGGATCCACGCCAGCCGGCACCTGGAGCGCGTGTCATAGCGCTGTTGGCGTGGGAAAAATGCCTGGACAGGCATGGATTGACCTAGCAACCAGGCTACAACCCCACGACATACCTGTATATTTACTTTATACAATTACATGATTTTTACAGCGCGAGGCGTGGAATGACGTGGTAAATGAGTCTATAGGTTACTTATTAGCCAGAAATTAATATAAATTCTTTCTATGCATGGTCGCTCCGATTTTTGTTGAGTCAATGGGAAAACAAGTTATTGTTGACTACCTACATGAATCTCTACCAAGGTACAAGGTAACACCACTTAGATCGCGGGGCGGGAAGGGAATGGCGAAGACTGTGCATATACTTTTGACTCAGACTCGCTTACGATGCGCCATGGCGGTGGCCGAAATACGTCAATGAAACCAGCTGGCTATTTACTATCTAAAGGCGATGTTTAAAGCGGAAGCATATAGAATCATAATTGCATCTCATAGTGTAAACAGAACACAAGCATTCTCTCCATATTATTTACAGGATAACTTAGGTCATCCCTAGCGCGCGGGGCTTTATCCGAATAATAGCCGCCACATCACTCAAGCCTCTTACCCATTTCAGATTGCACCCCTGTCCGTTTAGCACCCAAGAAAAAACCTTGACTTTGGCCCATCGGTTACCGCTAGTGAAAGAATTGAAGGAAGAAAAAACTAGAGCTACAGCGACGTTTCAACTGTAATTATCAGTCAATTCATCAAAGAGAACAAGTCGTACAAAATGCCTAGCACACTTCAGAAGATACGCAAGCATATCTCCAAGAAGCGCAATGGAGAGGTGAACGCCCTGCATGAAAAGTCCAGGGACTCTCTGAGACTACACAAGGCCGGAGTAAGAGACCAGAGACTGGAGAAACTTGCTGCGGCGAGGAGCAAGCGAGAACAACCCATTGGTATGCAACCATCAAATGAGATGTACGAATCTTCAGTTCATGTCTGACAAGTTGCATAAAGTGGAACGTGTTACATTTTTCCAACAGAATGTGAGAGAGCAAGGTGCCGAACCTCTCGAAGTTGCTGCTGTCCAAGCGCTTATCCACACGTATGTACCAACTGCCTCACCTTTTTGTTCAAGAAGTATTAGAAGCTGACGGCGGCTCTATGAGAAAGATATATTCACCAGTACGATGAAGAGTACGATGCTGTGAAGAAAACCCGCCGCGCTGGACGGCCCGCCAGTACTAAGGAAGATCTTCTGAAGATGAAAATATCTGCGCTTGAGGAAGAGTACACCAAAGGATTCCGTAAGTTTCTTTTCACCATGGTTCCAGCTCTTGGAGTTTATTTAACTTACAATGTTCCAGTGATTCCTGATATTACGACGGCTGAAAACGTCAAGCTTTTGGATGCTTGGGAAGGCTCTTGGGCATATCTTACCAGTATCCCCTGGATCAAAGTCACGACTACCGGCAACATTCGCAAAGCTGAGCTGCCCTCAAAAGCTATAAACTGAAAGGGTCTTGTCTCTCAAACTCTTTTCACATAAAGCATTCAGGGACTCACCTGCAACATAATACATATGCTATCCGGTTATGGCAAGCAGCTGCCTATGTTCACTCGACTTTTACCAAGGCACAGAAGCCTCTCTATATGGCTAGGGGCTGACATACGAGTGTGCCGATTCGAACAAGAGCCTCTAAGAAACCCAGATTTCCTGGCTGCTGCTCTGGCCATCGGCAGCCCCTTGAGCAGTCTGATCGGAGTAGGTGTTTGTTGAAAAGGCATATGCATGGACAGACCTTACGCAGGCCGCAACACCTGTTTACAAATGCCCTATATCATGAGAGCTCGTGAGCAATTGGACGGCATAGCAGGTAACAGAAAAGCTATCCCGCCAGCTTTCCTCCTTTTTTTTTAACGTTTTTCTCTCGCTCCTATGGTGAGACAGAATGACCTAATAGGCTCGCGCGCAGCGGCTATATACGCTTCTAGAAACAGATAAATCAACTATCTTAGTCCATTGTGATTGACCTTGATAGATTGAATGAACCACCAGCACGGAATATAATACAATCATGCTTGATACATTTACCACGCTCAATCTTACTTTGTGCTTCAAACGTTTTAACAGCTCCAGGGATTTATAGTGCTTGCATTCCAGTGAATTAGTCACGTGGGGCAATGGAGCAGCTGGCAGGTAGCTCCATTCCCGCGCCCAGTGGGAAAAAAATCATGAAAAAAAACTGGCACTACTTCGTAGCTACTACATCATCCCTCACCAACCATCTATACAGCTATTCCCAGTCTCTTTTACCAAGCCAACAACATTCAAAATGTTTTCCCTCAGAACAATTGCGCGATCTGCCCCGCGGACCGTCAGCCGTGCTGCCGGTGCTTCCCTGCGCTCATCCGCCATTGCCCGCCCCAGCTTCGCCAGAACCCCCGCCATCAAGCTGCTGCCCACCCGAGCTGCCGCCTTCTCAACCACCGTCCGCCGAAGCAAAGAGGATGATATCGAGGTCGACGAGGCTCTCTCTGCCAAGCTGGAGAGCGAGATCCAGATTGAGGAGGATATCAAGGCCAATGAGCAGCAGCCTACGAGCATCAAGGACTTCCTCGACAACAGCCCATTTGAGCTGATCGATACTCCTGGCCAGGAGGTCGTCAAGCTGACCCGCAGCTACGGCGAAGAGAAGTAAGTCTCTAATCAGAGCTGGGTCAAAGCTCGCTCCATGGCGCAAGTTGACTAACAATTTTCCTTCAGGATCACCATTAGCTTCTCCATCGCCGACATCACCAACTTCGACCCCTACTCCGAGGACATGTTCGAGGAGGATGAGCTCCCCGAGGAGTCCCTCCAGTCCGACAAGCAGCAGAACCCCGACGACAGCCTCGAGGGCGATGTCGATGAGGAGACTGGCGCACCCATCAACCTCTCCATCCTGATCGAGAAGCCCGGCAAGACCAACGGCGCCCTCAACATCGACGCCACCGCCCGCGATGGCGAGATCCAAGTCGACAACATGTTCTTCTACGAGGATGCTGAGGTCGCTCGCATCGACTCCCCCGAGGCCGCCCAGAAGCGTGCCGATGTCTACCCCGGACCTCCCTTTGGCAGCCTCGACGAGGACCTGCAGGTGCTGATGGAGCGCTTCCTCGAGGAGCGTGGCATCAACGAGACTCTGGCCGCCTTTGTCCCCGATTACGTCGATGCCAAGGAGCAGCAGGAGTACCTTCGATGGCTCAAGAACGTCCGAACTTTTGTTGACGCTTAAGTCAAGGCGGTAAAAGACGAAAAAAAGAGAATGTACGAATCTAATGTCGGTTGTTGGGTTACGGTCATGTCAAAAGGTGAAACGAAGGGAATGATTATTTTGTGATTATAGAAAAGCTTTTTTGGGAAATGTCCTCACTCATGTATTATACACGGCCAACGCTGCCGCCCCTACGAATTGATATCAACACGGAAACACACACATAACAAATCATAACATGGTCTCTCTACTAATCTATTGTTGCTCCATGTTGAAAACAGTGATCCATGGTACTAGGATGTACATCCTTTATAATAACTAAAATCTCAATTTATATGTAATGGGCAGTTATGCGGTTGACTACCTAGGAAAGTAACAGGTCTGTAGCTGCGAGCCCAATGGTCCATGAAAATGTAGAAGAAGAAAAAAGAAACTCTATGCCAAAATAAAGTAAATCTGTAGTGTGTTGCGAACACAATCTATGCGTATAGGCCAATCAACCCGCGTGGTATATGTATATGTCATCAAGCCAAATTCCTCATCCGTCCAAATGCGTTTGCCCTATCCAACCTTTGGCCACTCTCTCTTTTTCCCCTACGCTCTATACAATGCCGTCGAGGCTCCAATCGCTTTTCTGGGCCCGCTCCAGAACTTGCTTTCCCTTCTCCGTGAGATCGGGCTTGCCGCCGTTGCCGACGACGTGTTCGAAGAAGACAGGCTGCCAGGTCTCCTTGTTCTGCTCCCGCTTCCGGGCTTTTTCTCGCTGGGCTTCCTCCAAGGCCACCTTTACTTCGGTTGCCTTGGAAAATTGCTTGGCGAGGATAGCCTCGGTGACGCCTCCCCACAGGCGGAGTGATTCATTGGGCAGCATCTGCTCCTTTGGCGGGAGAACCTTGGGAGCAACGTTCAGTGGGATGATGTCAATGATGACGTGCTGTTCTTCAACGGGAACAGTTTTCTACAGGACAAAACAAAGTAAGTATTTTCCAAGTCAAAATGGATTTCAAGGCAGGAAGACATACCACAGGTCTGGGGCCCAGTGAAAAGACAACCTTCTCCTTCCAGGGACCGCTCAGCCTAGCCAGGACATCCTCATCCGGAACATCCTGGACTCGGGTCTTGTCATCGTTCTCGGGGTCATACTTGAAAATGACACCATCAATTTTGTTGGTCGTCCGGCCCAACCAACCCTCCTCGACGTAGTGGAGAATGGCCTTGATCTTGGTATCGGGGCATGTGATGTATGCCATCTCGCTCACAGATACGCTCAGCGTTCCGCGGAAGAGACCGCCGAGATGGGCAGCGGGATGCGTCAACTGGTAAGTCTCGTTGTTTCTCTTCTCCAAGGAGATGAAGATGCCCATGTTGTGCTCGCCAGGAAGAACTTTGACAGATGTGCCGGTAAACTTGGCAGTGATCTGGTCGAAGCCTCTAGCAGTGATGCCCTTTTCAGGACAGGTAACATGGAATGCGCTGACGGGAGGGTGATGTGATGTTTGCTCAGTGAGGTATGAAATGCGGAGGAGCGGGCCTGCCTCATCCGAAGGCGTGCCATGTTGAGGGACCGACAAGGACACGGAGGAGGAGCTGTTCTCGCTCCTGGAAGCCGCCTTCAAGTTGGCAGCCGCTCCCTTAATGGAACTGGAGCTCGATCCCGGGGCAGTGGGGGTCTGTAGGTCGAGAGTATTTATCCTTGGAGCGTTATCTTCTGTCTCCCAGTTGCACTGCATCAAATCCAAATGTCAGCGTTATCATGGCTCCCTCACATCATGATAACAAAGGCCCGGTCCAATCCTGTTATCCAGCATCGGGTGGTGGGGCAGGGGCTCACCCGGAAGAACTCGCCGAGACACGAGTTGTACGGCTTGCAAGGCTTTCCCTTTGCATATTTGAGATCCTTTGTAAGCCAGAAGCGAATCACTTCAAGCATTCGGTCGAGCGGCTCATCGGATGTGCCGATGGCGACGAAAGCGTTGGGTGCATCGAGGTAGGTCCAGTACTCGAGATTTGGGGTCGGCTCCAGGAGTTGGGAGGGGAGAGAGAATCGAACGGAGGCGAGGTCCGTGACCCCGATGAATCTACGCTCGCAAAATCAGCCGTTAGCATGGTTTCCGTGTCAAGTTGATTGAACGCATCCCGCAAAACTCAATTTGCACGGCTGATCGAGTTATCCATCGAACGCGACATTCTCTTTCGAAACTCGGATGCCCCACTAGGCTTTACCGCCGGTTTCGCCTCTTGGTGTAAGAGCATCGTGGTGGCACGGAGAGAGCAACGCAGGTGCAAATTGCATCCAAAAAGGAGTGGGAGAAAGGGTCTCTCTTACTTTCTCAAGATACCTAAGAAAGTGCGCAACTTGGACCCCTCGTTATGGGGTTCGTCCGGCGTCGCAGCGGCTGGCGGTGATGGCGGTGATGACGACATGTTCGACGTAAAACAGCAGCCAAGGCGTGGGTTTCAAAGAGCCGCTGCAGTAGAGGGGCTGGCTAGTTGATATGCGCCGCCGCTGCCACGTAAGAGAAAGAAGCAGTCGAAGTTGTAAACGGTGAAGGAGAGTAACGGTCGAGTCCGTAGAGGCTCGATAAAGAAGAGTCTATGCCTCTGCCGCCAGGAATCGCGGGCCTGGTGCAAAGCAGGTGAGAAAGTGGAAATGGGGATCACTTTTGCATGCCACGCCCCAGCTAAGAAAAGTCTGGAGCCGTCCGCTGGCGTGGCGTTTCAGAGGGACCAAGAGGGGACCACAGTGGACTCAAGCAGCCGAGTTACTGGCTCGGGGGTCCAGGGACAGGGATTCCCAGGGGGACGGCAACCACTAAAGAGCCGCCAAGCCGCATGCGCTTCAGTGCCGGTGGAAGAATCTAGAGATTGTATGGATGCGATGTGATGCACAGCGATATCCAGCTTCAAGTGCCGTCTGGTCCGCTCTTTGTGCTGGGCAGAAGGCGAAGCGATCAGGATCTTGGACAGTCTCTCTTCCTCTCCTCTCTTCCCCCCCTTTATCCCTATTGCCCGTCAAATCTTGTTCCAACTCAGCCACTCCCCGGCCGCTCGCTAGATACCAGAGATTGCCAACTAATACTCGTAGGCCCTGCGTCCTGCCAAGGCGGAAGATGCGACGGGCCAATCATCAGCCCACATGGTCAAGGCTCTGGCTGGCGATGGCACCGCAGAGGCAACATGCAAAAGAGCAAGCAGCACGCTGGACCCCCGTGCATCTTCCGAGTGGCCACATGCGTGCCACTGGCGGCTTCTGCAAATAATCAAGCTGTTTTTCATGATGACTGATAAGCGTGCATGCGCATTTGGGGCGGAGAGGTGGCATTCAACTTTTTTTCTTGCAGGCATCCCAACAACTAGTGCATGGCATGCTGGCTCATATATACGGAGAACCGGTATGGATGCGATATACTAATAAAACTGATATGGGGTTATTACCTGTGGCCTATCCAGGGCAATTATGGAATGTTCTAGGGAGGTTTGAGAGTTGGGATGATTGAGTATAGCATTATTGGAGTTATATAAGATAACAGAGTCGTCTGACCTTTTGGTAATAGCACGTACGTCCCGTCTCTCCACAGTCAGCAGCTGATATGATCGTGATGAGTGTCAGCTGGGTAATTCCATATTAAACCCTTCCGCGACAAAGACCTGGGTTCAAGCATAGGCATAGAGTTTAGGGAAAACGTGGTGGCTAATATCAAAATTTGCCTTTTGCAACACTGCTTTGTATGGCTTACAGGGTAGGCAACCAAGCAACTTCACCTCGGACTGGTATGAGCTACTCCACGCCATTCATGGATGGTGCCGCACGGAATTGGCTTGAGGCTTGAGGCTTAAGGGCACAGAAGCCAATTATGAGTCGGCTGCCCGCGGGTTTCAGCGGGTGCTGCCATCAGCCGTGGCATATGCTAGCCGGAGAGGCTTTCATCTCACCCTTGCCACTGGTAGAAAGACGAGTCTGTTGAAGACGCGTGTCAAGACCCTTCAGCAACTATCAAGGAGAGACACGTTCAGCATAGGGAACCCGAGCATGTGTCGTCTTGGATAAGGGAATACTATTTCAGCTGCAGCAATAGTTACCCGCATTTGGCGTACGGAGTATGTGCTTTCGAGGAATTAGCGGAACTTACGAAGAAAAGAACGATCATGAAGACATAAGTGATTGGCTGACGGACTATGTGCCGAAAGGATTCCATCTTCTCACCAGCCTCGCCGTAATTTACTTAGCAATTGATGTCATGGTCGGCAACTTGATCTACCGCCGGGACATCTCCAAGGTGACAGATCCGGTAGACTATCCGGGGCCATAATGAAAACCGACCTGTATGGAGGACCCTTTAATCGAACTACGCGTAGATGGGATATTTCTCATAGAGCTTGTAGGTACTCCACGATTCCGCTGCAGCTTTGATTGGCCAAGTTAATCGGAAGCACACACGCGTACATGGGACCAGACTGTTTTACAGGCATGCAGGTACTGCAGTTAGACATCTACCTACATGCTACTGTAGTACCTTGTGTAGTATTTCGAGCTGGATGCTGAATTTGGAAAGCTCTCGGCAAGTAGAGGCACATGAGGTGTTGCTACATGCGGACCAGAGAAACTCTCGCCGTAGCGGTCGATCGTTTGCTTACCGAGACTGTAACATGGTTTAAGCCCCCCGGCGTGATAGCGTCGATGGCGAACAAAACGTGGTCAAACGCCCATCTACGAGCAATTTTGCCATCCGCTAACTGACATCTGCCTGGAGCCAGAGAGCAAGCGTCGCACCATTTTCTCCGAAGAGCGCATCTTCTTCTGCTGGGTGACATAATGTCGACCCAATGCCTCGGGATGTGGCTTCTGGAAGCAGCTCGACAAAGCTGGACCAAGGATCCGCAAGCAATTTCAGCATCGCGTTTGGAGGCTGTCTGACGCAAGTTGGCTGTCATGCGGAGCCCTCCTATCAGGCCTAGCGCACGGATAGCAGGCAGGGGGAGGTTTGCCAAATCCTGCCGTATCAGGGTGCAGATCAATTGGCGGGCTGTTAAGGCGTCCATGTATCCTCAAGTACTGCCATCTTGTGGTTCCATGGCGACGGGGGCGGAGCAGAAGCTCCGTTGTGCCTCGATCTTGGAATACCAGACGGTCTTCTGTTTTGCCAAGGTCGCGATTCACGGTTGACAATGTGAAATCAAGATCATGTGGTATGAGGAGTTTGGACAGCTCGTTTGATCGTGAGAACAAGCAAGGTGACGGATAGCAGCTAGTATCTTATGCTAAGTGGCCAGCTAGATCATATTAAGGAGAAGCAGAGAAGGGAGAAGCCAACAGCATTCAAAGATACTTTAAAAAGTTGCAGGTTGTCTTTACGCGCTGTGATGCTTCAAAGGGCGCTGGAGGATACGAATTTTAGTACTTGTTATGTTCAGCCAGACTTTCTTGTTAACTGGGGAATATCAAATGAGGCTTTGAGCACATGCACGTATTACTAACCTCTACATCGCTGGAAGCAAGCAAGAGATGCGGTCCCAAGGTACCTGGGTGGTACTTTTTCCTGCGCCACAGGCCTAACTGCTCCGCATCGAGATCGCGATCTCCCGACCAGAATCCGATGAGTTCAAAAGTTACAGATCGGGGCGCGAGCGCTAGCCCAACCATGCATTTTCGAATCGGTGGCCTTCTTGCTGTTGCAGCTGCGCGGAGGGAGATGGATCTTTTTTGAGGGGGAAGATTAAAAGCTCCAAGCCTGCCAGCCCACACACTCATTCCCTTTCTCTTCCTTGCTGCATCAGCATCACCGAAGTTCTATGATATCTCTACTTTAAGTGCTACTTAGTTTTTAACTTTTATACTTTACTATTTCGTGAACAATTACCTACGGCGAACGCTATCGTATATTACTTCAACTGTACTGCTACCAACTAAGGCGGTACCTTTCCCCACGACGAGTGTCTCTTACATTGCGGAGGAGCGAGGTGCCTTTTGGTTCTTCACTTCTACGTACTTGATTTCGACTTCGATTTCTAGAACCCAGCCGAAAATCATTTAACTACCCCCCAACGGGGGATTTCGGCTACAGTTCATTCTATCGAACCTTTCAAGATCCGGTATCGCAAACAAGTATGGACAAGGTGGACACCAGAGTTTCAGTCGATTGCCCTCCCAGGAAGACAAATGGCAAACCCAAGCAGAAACAGCAGGCGAAACATCAGAAATCAAACTCCCAGGTGAGCCTCAGAATATCCATAACTATGGCAGGATGCTAAGCGGTTACAGTCGGAGCGAACTCATGATGAGAACACAGAGCGGGCGTATATAGCTGCCTCACGGCGCAGTGACCGAGACATAGAGGCGCGGATCAAATCCGCTTTGCAGGCTAGCAAAATACACAAGAAACGAACCGGGAAAGCTCTCCGAATCACCCGTGAGATTGTTCTCAATGAGGCTATGTATGAGGAAGAGGATACCGAGCTGGAACGGTTCAGAGAGTGGAGCTTCCGCTTGTCATCGGGTTCTTTGCAGGGAGGCCATGGAAAAGAAGTGTGCGACCTCATAGAGTCATCTCTCCAAAGATGGCGGGGAAACGATATCAATCAGGCCTTTGAGCAATACTTTCCCAATTACAAACAAGCAGCAGCCCAACCAACAGGTCCTCAATGGTATCCGCGACAGGCTTCACTGCAGCCACTACCTCAGCAAACTTCTCCGATTGACCCTCCAGGGATGATACAGATTTCTGGGATGCAAGTGCAGGTGCCGATCTCCGGAATGTCTGCTCACGGGGTGCAACAGACTCCCTGGATGGGACAGTCCCCTGAGATGCAGATGCAGTCTCCCGTGGGGATGGGAATGATTTCTCCGGCCCAATTACAGTCTCCTCTTCTACAGATGGGACAGACTCCTGAGATTAGGCACGCTTCTCCGACACAGCAAGATTTCGATTTGTGTTCTCAGTTCGTGGATTCAGGCATCAACACCCCCTCAGCTGAGATACTTAGTGGTCTTCGAGAGTTCACACGCCTCACCCCTGAGAACGACACATTCTCCGATGAATCATCCACCCCTCCCGAACTCAGTCATCTCAACCAAGCTCAGTTACCTACTCCGATATCTACATGCTCCTCATGCACTTGTAACCCGGCTCAGAAATACACCTGTGACAGTTGTCGGACGTTTGTGTGGTTTGCATAACGGTCTCAGTCACAAGTGATCATATTTCAGATATTTCTGCGTTCCCTATTTTTTATGCTTTGGAACATGAATCACGACGATGTCTCTGATGCTGCAGCGGCAGTCCTTGTTCTCTTCTCATACTGGACATGTCATGGCAGGCGTCATCAGTAGAAAGCATATTTGCAGTTTCTTTCTATATACCTACCTATATTTCATTTTTCTTTTGTGTTTCCCATCATTTTTATGCTTTTGCTGGCGGAGCAACGAGGGTTTTTATTGTGTCATTTGCGTTGCAGTTGCCGGCATACGATGGGATGCAAGTTTGATCTCCACTTCAATGGACGCATTTATGAAAGGGGCATCGCGCCTCCTTTTTTCCCCTCTTCGGTGTTCTATTCTTCTCCTAATTTTCCTTTTTTCCTAGTCCCCAAAAGGTCGATTAGAAGGATAGTCGTAAGAGCTGGAGTTTGGCAGTTGGGCAATGAGTTTTCTTATCATTCAACATAAAGTTTAACTATAAGTCTAAAAAAAATTAATAAAATAAGCAATTGGTCAATTATACCTAAGAGTTCGCGAGCAACATGAGATGCGGTTTCAAGTGATTCACTAGCGATGTTTGTTCCCCATGTAATTGCGTGTAGCTCGCAAATCTTTGTCATAATCAAATCAAACCAGGCCTCGTGATGAATCAATGCACACAAACAGCGGCGAGCAATAGTAGCACGACATGCTTACATGTATGTATTCAAACAATTGAAGTCAAGGTCAATGGCTCCCAAGCCTTGCCGTAAATGACGTCTCTAGCTCCCCGCTATTAAGCCATCAAGCTCGCAGCATCAGATCCCCTGACCAGCTCTTCGCCGCCCCTCTTTTCCCTTTCCAGCACAGTAGTTCCATAAAGGTGCGTGGGGTCATTCATATGACGCTCACTTCTTCGTTCTTGCATTTCCTGCTCCTGCAGCTCCCCAACTTTTGCCTCTCTTCCTCCCCCTTCTCAGCTTTCCCCCCAGAGTCGCATCATCCAAATTACTGAATCACGCGATTGGCCGCTGTGTGTGCATCCAGAGTCGTGCAGCTCCCGGGGAATTGACTTGTGTCGTTCGATCGCGTGTCGTGTGTTGCAAAGGAAAGACCACCTGACAGGGCTGGTGTAAGAGGAACAAAAGAAGCTGCCTTGGAGGCTGAAGCTAAACGCAGAGAGCTTGCCCAGGCAGCATCAACGCATAAATACAGACAATCTTCATTCCTGTTTCTGCATTCTTGTTTCTGCATTCTCTACCTAGTCACGGCGGCGGAAATTACAGCAATTACTTCCTAAGGCATATAGCATTGTCGCTCCGATGGCTTCCACCGTGGATCCCAAGGAAAAGTTCTATCGTCACTTTCGTGACAGCATTGAAGGTGGGCTGCTGCTTCTGGCCTACTTAGGGCTTATGTGGTGCCTATTCATCACCGCATGATTGCTAACGACTCTCCTTTCCTCCTCTGCAGTTCTTCAAGATCAGATTGGTCAATTAGCACATCTATCTTCCATCGGAGGCGAGCGACAAGAGGCTACAGACCACATCCTGGCTGGCATCAGCAAGCTGCAGAATGAGGTTGCCGATGCCGCCGAATTCACCCCAGCATACGATCGACGCCAGTACTCAGATGTCTGTCGTCCTCCATAATTCCATGTAAAGAGAAGCCAGACTGATCGCGAATCATGTTTATAGGCAATCAGAAGCCTCCAAGATAAGCTCAACGAGACGATTGCCAAAGTAGCACCAAAGTCACGCTTCCAGTTTAGGCGCACTGGAACTGACCATGTTGACATGGGAGCACCCGAAAACGACCCGCGATTGAACCCGGGCAGCTTATCCCGACGCCCTCACAGTCCAAAAAGTGCACCCGGAGCAGCGAGAAGCATATCGGAGGAGGCCCAGGATACCGTAGGCGAGCTGCGATCAAAGGGAAAAGACTACAATGAGGAGCTGGCGAAGCCCGATGCCTCATCCATCCGAAAGCCCAGCTTCTCTGCTGCTCAGAGTATCGGCATCTCGGACCAGACTGGCCTTCACATTATCCTTCCATCCTCTGCTTCGCGAGCCACCGCCGCAGGTTGGCTACGGGACCTGAAAGACTGTGTTATTGACCTTTCAATACCCACAGCCCAAGGAGCACCATTTCCCGGGCTCACTCTCAAGAATATCGACAGATGTCTTATCGTGGCCGGTAGGGTAAATGGGCCCATACACATCAACGATGTGTCCAACAGCACTTTGGTCGTTATAGCGCGACAGGTCCGAATTCATGACTGCAAAAACGTCAATATTTATTTGCACTGCGCTAGCCACCCCATTATTGAAGACTGCTCAGGCATGCGCTTTGCTCCTCTTCCTTCGTGTTATGTATGTCTCTGTCCTTTGTTTGCATCTTTGTTTTTGTGTAACGAGAGGTGCTGACTTTGTTTGTCTGTACAGCAAACCGAGTCCGATAAGTCGACAGAGAATCAGTGGGACCAGGTTGATGATTTCAAATGGCTGAAAACAACCCAGAGTCCCAATTGGACCACTCTATCCGAAGCTCAGAGGCTTGAAGAGGAGGTTTGGACCAAGATTGTGCCGGGTCAACCAGGCGGCAGTGTCGAACAAATTCTGGCCAAGGTTGGGATTCCGCCGAAATAAGGTGGCTGGCTTGCGGAGGGAGTGGACGTAGGCCATTGCATTATCGAGCGTCGCATACGTAAAAATAGCTAATAGGTAGCCTCTCAGGGGGAACATTATCCAGGCGTGGTTACTTTTGATGTGGGCTCGAGAGGGATTCAAATGACTGCACAAGTCTCTTCTTCATAGTTCCATTTTGTCTCCGGTAGCGTATGCATCTTTGCTAAACTGTACGCCGCTCTCGCGAAGTTTTTCTAACAAAGCACGCTGCATCTCAATTCGCGTTTCGAGCTCTTTGATCTCGGTCCTTTGCTCTTCGATGGAGCGATCCATGTCGGGCAACGCGCGAACCTGCGCCCTGGCGTGCTGCAATTTGTGCTTGAGCTTGTCGGTAGCACCAGGAACGTCCTTAAATGAGAGCTGCTGGCCGCTGCTGCTTGGCCCGCCAGGAGTAGCTCCTGTCGTGAGGCCAGTAGAGGACTGGAGTCCGGCACGGACTTTTGCTAGGACAATGGACAGCTCTGACAGAGAGTCGAGATCATCGGGGGACAGCGTAGAAGGCAGAGAGAGTGCCGGCAGTTCTGAAGCCATGGTAACGCGTTGGATTCAGGATGTCAAGTGATCGAGGTATCAGAAACGCGTAGGGAGGGTATGGTAGACGCCAAGTTGACAGATAAGACTCAAAGCGTATGATCAATAACGATGGATAATAGCACGACTACTGATCGTAGCTGCGCATGGCACGCCCTGATTGATTGGTTCACGGGGAATTTTGTCTTGCAAGGCGTTGACGGGGTTATTGAGGGGAGTTGGCAGAGATTAGACGCAAGCTTAGTGGCCAGGGCGAGAAACGGCCCGATGCACGGAGGGCTCTTTAGCGCAGCCGCTGCGCAGCCGCCTTCTGCGCAGAAGCTGCCCATGTCTCATACAACTTATCAGCAGAGATAATGGATGACATCGGCGGCCCATCGCCATCAACCCCACCATCCAATCCTTAGTACAGGTGGTATGTTTCTAGGATTGGCAGTGGGAAAAAAAGCTTCATCTCCCCATCAAATCACGCACCTACTGTCCTCTTCCTCCTTACACTCTCTTCATTCCGCCAAATCTGCCATTGAGCCCTCTCACCATGTCCAAGACAGAGCAAAAGGCCTGCCTCAGTACGTCTCATCCTCACTCCCAACCATTGCCCCGCCATGCCTCTCCAACCCCTCAACCAATCCCGCGCCCAAACCTACGTCGCGTCAAATCGGCGCCGGCCACGGTTCAGATTGGATCGCCGCCTAAGAGGCCGGACTATGTCCTTGCCTGCTGCTTCGTTCTAGTGTATCTTGAGCTTGGGTGGCTAATTCTACTGCTGTTGCGCTCTTACAGTCGTCATTGATGGCTGGGGCATCCCCTCCGACGAGAGCCCCAAGGATGGCGATGCCATTGCGGCCGCCGAGACGCCCGTCATGGACGAGCTTTCCAATAGCGAGACTGGATTTACCGAGCTCGACGCCTCATCGCTGGCGGTGGGACTGCCTGAAGGATTGATGGGTAACTCTGAGGTCGGCCACTTGAACATCGGCGCTGGACGTGTTGTCTGGCAGGATGTCGTTCGCATCGACCAGACCATCAAGAAGGATGAGTTCGCCGACAACGAGGTTCTCAAAAAGACTCTCGAGGGTGCTGCAAGCGGCAATGGCCGTCTGCACCTCTGTGGCCTGGTTTCTCACGGTGGTGTGGTAGGTGGCTTCTTTTGAGAAAGCCTGGGCTAAGAATATACTAATGTTCCGACAGCACTCCAAGCAGACACATCTGTATGCCATCCTCAAGGCTGCCAAGAAGTACAATGTTCCGAAGGTCTTCATTCACTTCTTCGGTGACGGCCGTGATACCGACCCCAAGTCTGGTGGAGGTTACATGGAAGAGCTGGTGGACTTCATCAAGGAGCTCGGCCTTGGCCAGATTGCCACCGTTGTCGGCCGGTACTATGCCATGGACCGCGATAAGCGATGGGAGCGTGTCGAGGTTGCTCTAAAGGGTCTTATTCTGGGCGAGGGCGAGGCGACTGAGGACCCGGTTGCTACTATCAAGGCTCGATATGAGCTCGAGGGCAAGGAGAATAGAGATGAGTTCTTTACACCCATTATTGTTGGCGGCGATGAGGGCCGTATCAAGGGTAAGTTTACTGGGAGTTATCATTCGATCAATTGGATATTCAGGGCTAACACTCCATGAACCAGATGACGACACTGTCTTCTTCTTCAACTACCGATCTGATCGCGCACGACAAATCACCCAGGTGCTCGGTGATGTTGACCGATCTGTCCTGCCCGACTTCCCTTACCCCAAGATCAACAAGCTTGTTACCATGACCCGATACAAGAC